CATGTCTTAGCATCACCGTCTCGTTTCCTACTGTCGCGTGTTTATTACGGAGAATGTTGTTATTTCTTTCTTTAGATATTTATGTATAGTTGCTGCTGTATTTTGTGTTTAATCCGTCATTACAGCGGGATTTCAGGATCCACCTAAAGCTCACAGTAACGTTTGTCCTAAGAGTTTTCGCACAAAATTCAATGGCTTTAATTTTAGCAAACACAAAATAATATCAAGTTGCTTTTGGAGACAAACGTTCCTTTACTTACTTTACTGACAATTGATATTCATGTATCTCGAAGTTTTTGCTTTAAGATGTGTAAATTAGAAATAACAAAAAGTATCTACAAGGTGGTTGAGCTGGTACGCAAAGCTGAAATCCGTGGAATATTCCAGAATGAAAAGATTGCACGCAGAACCAGTTATCGAACAATAGCGGAGTGCAAGCAAGGAATACCATGTCTGAATCTCCCAAAAAGTGGAAGACCAGAAATTACATATAATTCAGTCAAAATTTAAAGAAATGCTTGATTTTTGAATTAAATTCATGTTTTAATTACTACTGTTGACTGTTTATTCATGTTTATATTATTTTATTCAATTGATATGCGATTGTTCTGATTCAAGATCATCACTGGGTGTTTTTTCCTATAAACCTCTTGCAGATAGCCATTAAGCACCTACTTGATGATAGGCTCTACCAAAAGATATTGCTCGTTTCCAAACATTCATTCATTTACTTGGCGTTCATCAGAACCATTATGGCACCTTATAGTCAACGCCAAACAAAGTGGCGTGCACGTCATCACGATAAAAATTCCCCGACCTAATGCCTAGGATTCTATCACAAACAATTGCTCTATTGCAGTTTCATATTAATGTGATATATAAATTGTAAAATGGTCATTACTCTCTTATTATGGTTAATAGTCATATAAACATTGTTATTAAAATATCACATAAGTTGCTTTCTGATAAATTTAGACGCATTATGCGAAATAAAATGTTTTGCAAACGCTCCAATCACTTATCGACATGTAAACGCACTAAACCGATTTCGCAGCGTTGACACATTGTCACCTTGAAACTTATTTAAACTGGGAACTGATATTTGTATTAATTTTGACACTGAATCAATTTGTGGCATTTCAAATCTTTATAAATCCTTTGGCCCCGCATACTGTAAATCAACAACTGTTTGTTTCAAAACAAAATTATTCATTTTACGAGTAGATAAAGGCAATTTTGGTATATAAAGATGCCCAAACAGTTAAATAGTCGGTGTAAGGAACTCGTGGCCTCGTTAATGCACTACTTTGAGCAAGAAAGGGACAACAACGGGCCTTTGTTGCCTTTAAATGCTGTTCAAGAGGTAGGTTACTAATAATTATATGTAATGTATATTAATAATAGTGAAATTTTATTTCATTTTTTGTAGCGTGTTGCTGCTGCTTTAAAAATTAGTTTAAGGACAGTTAGTCGTATTTCCGAGGGTGTGAAAAGTGATGCAAATTTAGAATCGCCCAAGAAAAAGCGGAGTTATATTAAACGTGTAACCAACACAGCGACATTGGATACAAGTGCCATTCGAGAAGTGATCTATAATATGTATCACAAAAGTAAGATCTTATTATAATAACTTATCAGAAATTTGCATTAATTTGTTAACTAAATTATAATGTCATATTACACATGGTTTCAGAAGAACAAGTTACGATACAAACTTTATGGTCTCGATTAAGAGATAGGGCATTATTTGATGGTAGTGCCACGTCTTTAAGGCGGTTGCTTAGAGATCTTGGATTTAAGGGGCGTAAGGACAATCCGCGACGAGGGCTCATGGAACTACCAAGTATAGCTTTGAAAAGGGTGGAATTTCTAAGGCAATACAATCAAGCCAAGGTTGAGGCCTTATACCAGTTTGTCTTCCTCGATGAAACTTGGATATTTCAAAATGGGACCATAGGTCGCTCTTGGCAAAATGGAAACCAAAAAAGCGTGAAAGCTATTAAAACAGATGGTAAAAGGTATGTACTTTTACACAATTTGCACTATAAAATTTAAAACTAATATATTTTAGATACATTATATTACATGCTGGAAATGAAAATGGGTTTATTGAGGGTAGTGAAGCGATATTTTCTTCGAAAACAAAATTGAGCGATTACCATGGAGAGATGAACCAGGACAATTTTTTGAAATGGTTTCAACATCAGTTATTAGAAAAATTGGAGAGTCCATCTATGATTATACTGGTTAACGCCCCTTATCACAGCATGATATTGAACAAAGTGCTCAACAATGCATGGACAAAAAAAAATATCCAAGACTGGTTGACAAATCAAAACATACCATTTTTAAACACAATGTTTAAAACAGAGCTATTGAGTATTGTTGCTCGGTACATAATGCTTCTTAATTATATATATTTTGGTCGACAGTTTTTATTTCTTTTGTTTATTCCTATTCTTAAAATAACTGCTTTTTTAGAAACAAACCACCTAAAATATACGTGATTGATGAATTGGCGGAACAACATGGGCACAAAGTTCTTCGTCTGCCTCCTTACCATTGTATATTTAACCCTATTGAGTTAATTTGGGGCATAGCAAAAGGTTACTATAACAGACATATTGGTAGAGATGGTAACAGTGAAAAAGATTGTTTGGATATGTGGAACGAGGCTCTACAAACGGTTACCCCAGACATGTGGAAAAATAGTGTTCGACATACTGAGCAAGAAATTTTTAAATGGTATGAAAGAGAACGAATTTTTGATCGACCAGACATCGAACCTTTAATAATCAACTTTGAGAGTGATGAAAATTCAGATTCAGACAGCGCTGAAGAAAGAAACTCCGACTAACTTTATTGTACAAAAAAAGCTTACACCAGTAGCTTACCTAATTTTAGAATGCATTTTTCTGTATGAATTTTGTAAAATAAATACCATGCATAAAATTTGGAGGACCCCATTTGGATTTTTATTCAGTACCTTTAAGCTATCAATTAAATATGGTAGTTTCATAGTGTCATCTGATCAATAATTGTCATACTTAATGATTATGCAAGTACAGATCTATAATTTTATTATACTATTATTTTTGTTCTCATTTGAGGTTAATATTGCTTATAAACCTAGATATGTAAATAATAAATTTTATTATTCTACAAAAAGTTTGGCAACAATGTAAATTTTTCAACACACCCACCTTGATGACGTGCACGCCACTTTGTTTAGCGTTGACTATAGATTGATCTTCCCACAAAACCATTCAGGTTTTTTGATATCCACACATCCATAAAGTTGAATATTTTTCGTCGTTCAGGAACTGAACAAACATCCACACTATATTCACAGCGATTAAGAAATTCCCAAATATATGCCTCAAAGCGATCAGCAAACCTAAAACCTGCAAAAAACTACAAATTTGCCATATTTTTCTTTTTTCACGAGTACACATTCTAGGTTATGTTTATATTAGACATTATTTGAATACAGCTGATTATTGCATTTCAAGACTCCCGAGTGACACATGTGTGGGATCTGTCAACCCTTGGTCCCAGTCACAAAACATATACTCTGAAGAAGGTTTAATTCCATGATATGCAATGACAACACGGTGACTTGTGTGGTTGTCAGCGGCCATTTTGTGAGGGTGCGACATGGTTGCCAGATTGTGCACTAACATCCCGTTTCGCCCCCCTGGTCCCAGTGGAGTAAGCTCCGCCAACTGTTGAAATACACTATACTATGCGTCACAAGACTATTCGTGGAGTTTTTCCCAAAATCGTTGCACAATACTTGAAAAAATGCAAATGAAAATTTAAAATTATTTCCATGACGCTGCAAAATAGCTCCGCCGGTACCCATACATCTTGACAGTAGGGATGTTCGATATGATCCTATATTTAGAAGTATCAATACATTTCATGAACCTATCATCTGTTTAGAATACCGTTCCATAGAACCAATCTTGGTCTTAATTCCCCTTTGGTCAGGGCTCAAAAAAATCATAATAATTTCTGTAATATAGATTTATTTAACATTAGCTTGACCTCCCTGAAAAAGGGTTTAAAGTATGAGTATTACAGCTCTATGGCAGACTAAAATAGAAATGTTTTATTTTTTTACATAACTCAAGTTATCACCTCCAATATCATTTCTGGTATAATTTCAATTTAATTTTGATTTCAGCTTTAATTAAACGTCAGTAAATGTTAAATTATGTATACTTTTTTTATTAAAAAAGTTAAATTAATAGTTTATTGCTTATAATTAAAACTACTCACTCAGTTTATGTTGTTACAACAATATCGGAGGATAAAAAATATTAATATTGAAGTATTCAATAATGTAATATATGTATATGTATACGATATTTTATGTAAGTTTAGTTTTAGTTCACTGAGGGTGTGTGTTGGGTTTACCTGTTAACACCCCAAACTGTATATAAATAAATAAAATAAATAAAATAAATGAGTATCGTCACCTTTCGATCCGGACTGTGTCTGAAAGAGTGACTGCCATTTGGCTGCGATATTACCCTGTCAAATCAGACATAGCTTTCTTCATTTTCAAAGAAATTGTACAAAATCTTCAAATTTGTGTAGTTAGCGAGTTTCACTTCATACGTTGTTACCAGACATGCCCAAATCATCAGTTGCTGCCGTGATATTCGTCCCGACCACTGCATCCCCACGGCTAGGCGACCTGTATGTTAAATTTGGATTGATAGGACATCGGGTTATGCTATAAATCATATGTCACTTGTTTTTGTGCACTGATTGCAACGGTTAGATGATACCAAAAATATTTTCATAAATAGGAGATCTTTCCCATTCCGGATCGAACAATCCACCAAAGATGCTTATAATCATGATACCTAGTAAATTTTCATGAAAAAAATTCAAAGCCAGCAAATGTAAAAGATTCATTTCGCACCCTACACCACGGGACGTGATCGTCGTTAGACTTGGCAACCCTGCGAGTGACAGATAGATGTCCCCGCCAGTCAGAAAAAGACAAACCATATACATTACTAGTTTTTATGAGACATTTGTGAGACATTTTTCATAATTTTTTGTCTATGTCCATAGTAATTGCATTATGCATCAGGGAGATATAGGGATTGAAACGTCCTACACATATTATCTGTGTTTCAGGATGGAGAGGGCAATGTTTTTATTGCTTTGAATAAATTCATTAACCCGTAAATTAATAAATGATTACTATTATGATGTAAAGGAAGATGAGGAATTGGACGGAATGTATTTTGTATTCTATTTTCTTGCAAAATACAGACAAATCCACACTATCCAACAGGTATGTAATGATAACAGTATATTGAACTTTGTAGAGCTGTTTGTAAAATTTGATAGTCTCTCAGTTATCGTTAATGGTCTTGTACGTTTTTGACGTCGATTGATTCTACCCTTGTTCAATATTTACAAAATCACTTTAATTCGTGTTAATGTTAACAATACCATAATGTAACAAATACATTAACAATACTTGTAAAAGAAAATACGGTTATCTTGTGTCGAGTTTTCGGCACATGCCCAACCAATCTCTAAAATATCCTTCTTGACATGGATTGTTTTTGACTTGAGCAAGATGAGTAAGTCTGAACACTGATTCGATGTCGGGGTCCATAACTGAGTTAGTAGTGTTATCGGCATCTGAAACACAATACACAGAGGTTTAATAATCGAACCTAAGTCGGTAAAGGAGTCAAAGATGGAACACAGGATATTTGGAAATAAAACTTTAATCCAAGTTTGAGCAGAACAGGGGCTGGAAAAGTTTGGAAAAATCAGATAGACTGGAATTATTTTAGGATGCCTGTTGCTATAGGAGAAACTAGAACTGCAATTCACCTCAGCCAAATTTTCAAATCCATAGATCGTCTAGCGGCCTCTAACCTGAAGAATGTATCTTTTCGAAAATAATTATTTACTTTGCCTAAAAAATTGCCGATGCTACATCATACATTTGTGTGACATATATACTAAGTGACATATAAATCCGAACACCCAGTTTAAATGGTTTTATTTTAATAAAATTTTGTATAAGTACTTAATGGATTCCTCCTTTCACCACGTCACCTTCTAACCCTGGCACGACCATCGTGCATGCCTAAACAAAATCGAGACTCGTCACTAAAGACAATACTGTTCCATTCCTGATCCCAGAGTGACCGTTGTCTGCACCACTCAAGGCGATTACGTCGGTGTTCTCGAGTTAAAGGGAGGACCCAGTGTGGCCGGTATGAAAACAAGCCAAAACTTCTCATTCGTCGGTAAACACTTCGCATGCCAATAGGTCTTCCGTGTTCTGCAAACCATTCATTTACGATGGAACTGGTAGTGGAGAAACGGTCCCTTAAGGCCAATAATCTTAGGCGGCGATCTTCACGGTCTGTTGTTCTACGGCGGCGTGCAGTGCCCCTTGCTCTTTGCGTACGGCCTTCTCGAAGCCATGCCAGACAACACCTAACCACAGTGTCTACACTTCTTTGCACTCTAACTGCAATTGCCCGAAAAGGAAGTCCAGCTTCCCGAAGTCCCACTATACGGCCCGTATCAAACTCACTAAGTTGACGAAATCGTACAGGTCTCCGTACTCTAGGCATCGTAACCGATCGTAAAGGATGTCAAGAACCAAAATCCGCCAACGTTGATTCTTTACTGCGGCTGAAATATTCATTTTTAGAGCGTTAGTGAATTAAAAAAAAGCAGTATAAAAACCGGAATGTTCAACTGATAAGGCTGAAATTTTTTTCACTTGTTATTTACAGTAAGATAAATACATTCACCAACTTTTATTAAAATAAAACCATTTAAACTGGGTGTTCGGATTTATATGTCACTTAGTATATGTTATTTGACTTACTTAACGCTTTAAAACCCTTGCAGTGTGTCTCGTTTTTATTCCCCAGGGTCTCAAATTATGCCACACTGATGTAAAATGACTAAAAGGCCAGAAAATACAGTGTCTTGTTTTTAACCTCTCACTGTCTCATTTTTAGCCTAAATAGTGGTTATAAACCAGACACGGTTTTTTAACAAAAACGCACTTCATTATGAATATTATGAACTTTTTTTTAACGTGAGGTATACTACATGGCGTTCTATACAGGGTGTCCGCAAAGTTGGGGTTTTCCTTTTCAGAAACAACTACCCTTGAAATAACAAAGGTAATGTGTAGTAAAACGAGGGCGACCAAGTAAAAAAAAATAAAGGAAAAAGTACTCACTCTCCAGTTGACGAGAAGGGCTAAGTACGTCTCTGGCCGAAATCATACCGCTCCAACAGAAAATGAAATCAGCTGATGCGCTACCGAGCAGACGCCGGCGGTGGTGCAGACCACGAACAGAGGTAACAAATATGACCATCGTGCAGAAACCACATTGATTGTCTTACACTTACTGGCACATCTTCTAATAAGGAAGGCGAAATGTTGCGTAAAAAGTCTAGGTGTTGCATCCCGTCCAATCGATTTGGGAGAATAAATGGTCCAATGAGCATACCGTTCACCATGCCAGCCCAAACATTCATTGAAAATGTTTGTTGAAAATGTGCCCGACGGACAGCGTGCGGATTTTCTACTGACCAAACATGAGTGTTGCGAAAGTTATTCACGCCATTACGCATGAACGTAGATTCATCTGTCACCAATATGCACTTCAAGAAGTCCGGATTATTGTCATGTTGATGCAACAACCACTCACAAAACCGTACTCTTGCTGGAAAATCGTCAGGTTGAAGGGCTTGTACACGTTTGACGTGAAACGGATACAGCCCCTCTTCACGCAGCGTTTGCCACACTTTAGTTTTTGATACTTGCACTTCTCTAGCCACGTCTCTAGTGCTTGTTGTTTTTTGAAACGCAATAGATTATACGGGTTCGTTTACCTCTACACGCGTGACCGTAACCGTCGGTTGAAGGTTGCATACTGACCTGACACACTGACCCCGACCCAGTTCTGTCGTCGGGTTGAGCTAGTGTCATAGTACCACTCGGGGATGTCGCGAGTCGCTTCTATAGGACGCTATTGAGATATTTTTGATATTGCAGAGCCCTTTATCTCCGTTCCCTTAAGACATTGGTGTATATGGTATTAAGAAAAATTGCTTATGTTTTCAAGATCTACACGTCGTGTTAAGGAAAACCCCAACTTTGCGGACACCCTGTATACAGGGCAATATAACACAGCCTTAAAGTCCGGTTTTTTGTTGACAAAAAAGTAAAAGATTTAAAAATCGTCTCGTTTTTGCACCACTTGACCCTTTAAAAATGCGGTATGAATACTTCTTTCACCTAGTCAAAGAAAATCAACCATGCTTGTCAACCGAAAACACTTGGAAAGAATCTAATTTTGAAACTAGGAACGTGGCCTTACATGAACGGATGAGACCAATATTAAGCAACCCACAACCTCAAAAGCAGGCGGTATTTGATATTATAATTTATGGGTCAAGTTTTCTACACATCTTCATCCAGTCTCTGAAGAAACCTTCGGGGCAAGGATTGTTTTTGACTGCGGCAAGATTGTACGGAATAATTTTCGTACCATTCACAATATCTTTTTCCCTATCTAGCTCTTTCGTGTTACCTTGGCTGCAGTCCGACATTACTGTTGACTGGCTAGTCGTGTCATTGTTGCCTGTAACAGAGAAAATAATTTATTTCAATCATAGCTTGAACAAAAGTGTCTAGGAACCATTTGTACTAAAATAGGTGCACCCAATATAATAATAATAATAAGAGACGTCTTTTTACTTGGGCGAAGCTTAGATTTAGTTATTCAGCCACTCAACCCATACAAAAATAAACACAAACATTAACCAAATAGTTAAACGACAATAATACTCAAAATATAACAAAAGTATTATACATACTTGATGTATACTGAGTGACCAAAAAAACAAAACACCAACGTATGTTTATCCGATTTTATGAATTTTTGCAACCGATTTTGTCCTATAATGTCCTATCCAGAAGTTAACCGTTTTTGAGTTATTTGAATTTTATTTTTTTTATTTTTTATTCCGATTTCAGACGTTTAGATTTGAAAAACAAAAAAACTTCAAGTTTGATTTTGAGTTTTTTGTTATCGTCGCATAGCGGACATTCCAGTTGTTCATAATAAGTAATAAAATGTAGAAAACTTACAAAAGTTTTAAAATTACGCTTTTGAAATGTATGATTTTCTTATTTTTTATTCGATAAAAAATGCAATTTTCTGTAAAAAAATCTCCTAGTAATGAAATATGCAAATTATGTAAATAATATCTCTATCTAACAAGCTTTCATTTGAGGTATAAAAGTTACAACTAACTCAAGTACAAAGACATAAAATTAAAAAAAGATGAGTAAAGTTGTACGAACGATAATTACGTAAGATAAATAAAAGGCTTTTATTTCAATTACAGTTTTATTTATTTACATTTCCTTTAGCATTTTACAGATTCTGCTCAAATTGTAATCCTCTGTTATGAATACACGTCCGCATTCTCTTCGTAATTCACTTTTGGTAACTCTAGTTGTTAAGCGGCTTTTTATTTGGTCACCTGCACTGATTATCCTTGTAATTAATTCATCGCGCGTTGGTACAGGCGAAACATCGTACACCAGGCTTTTCATATGTCCCCACACATAGTAATCCATCGGTGTGAGATCCGGGCTTCTTGCTGGGCAGGCAATGGGCCCGCCTCTGCCAATCCATTGATTTGGAAATTTAGAGTCTAAATACGCCCGTACTAATTTACTGTAGTGTGCGGGACAGCCGTCGTGCTGGAACCGCATATTTTGTCTCGTCGCCAATGGGACGTCTTCCATTAATGGAAACAAGTGATTTTTCAAGAACTCGTCATACACTTCTCCATTTAAATTGGCGGGCAGAAAATGAGGTCCAATTAAATATACATCAATGATGCCCATCCACACATTGATTGAAAACCGGCTCTGAGACCCCGTCGGTCTTATTTTTCGGGGGTTTAAAGCTTCTTTATCAGCCCAGTAATGAGCATTATGGTAGTTAGTGATCCCGTCCTTATTAAACTTCGATTCATCGGTCCACAGAATTTTCTTAAAGTAGTCTGGATCTTCTGTATCTGCATGTAACATGTACCTGCAGAAATCGAATCGTCTTGCAGGATCGCCCTCTTCAATCACATGCACAGGCGTGTAGTGTAGTATGCATAGTAAACCATACTTTGTATTGTGATATACCCAACTGAGCAGCCACAATGCGCGTAGACGTAGTAGGGTCTTCCTGAAACACACGAAGGATTTCCTCTTCATCTTCAGGAGGATAGACTCGGGGTCGACCAGCATCACTATGTTGCCTTTGAACACGTCCGGTTTGACGGATGCGCCGATACACAGAGTCAAACACAGTAACATGAGGTGTTCGGCGATTCGGGAAACGTTGCCGATATTAACGGCGGGCATCTGCAGAATAGCCGTTACAAAGTCCATAACAGGACATTATGTCTGCGTATTCTTCATTTGTAAAAGTTTGCCCGTGCTCGCTATGGCGAGGTCCTGGCGGATCTTCTGCGTCTGCCATGGTGATAAAGAAACCACTCGACATGAACTGGGAAACTCGAAAATAATAATCGTGCGTAAAACGTGTGCGCGTACGCAGTACTTGATACCAACTAAACCTAAAGGCGAGAATACACATGCCAGTAAAATAGCATGCCAGTGGCCAGCAACTTGTATGCTAACTACTTGTTCTACGACATCCCAAAATACACATGCTACTTTTGGATATGCCAGTGTGTGAAAACTTTCCTTTATCTTCTTTAACACTTGGTGGTAGGTTGTTCTTAGGTTTTTTATCTTATTTTTCATAAATTTCAATGTTAAATTGTTATCAGTCATTTGCTTCAATAAAGATTTGTAAGCATTGTCTCTAGCGATTTTATTTTTATACAACGGAGAACATGTATTCCATAAACACGGATACTCCCTATACTGCATAACAAACAATAAAGTCTTTTCGTCTCCCCAACGAGCCATTTTGCCCGTAACTAAACAAATAGTTCTATAGTTCAAGAATCTGTTTTTCACATGCGAGTTTCTGGTAACGATGTCGTTCACACACCTTTGAACATGACTCGCATGTTTCCTCCTCTCCATTCCCTCGACGAAATCCTGCTACTGGCACACAAAAATCAAACGTCTTGCGATCTACTGGCGTGCTATCTTCTAGCGTGCTTTCTTGCTGGCAAAGAAAGTCACACATGCAAGTAGCACGCACAATCCAGTAACTGGCATGCTTCTGTGCGTGTAACAAGCATGTATATTCTCGCCTTAATTCTCACTCGGCGTGCGGCGATGGCGTAACTACCATGATGAATAATAACAACTCTCTCTCTCACTCCTCCACTAAGTCAGCTCTTCTCGCTCGCTTCCTCGTCGAGCCGATGCCATAAAACAATCACATTGAGGACAGTAACGACTTGTTCAAACAGGTAATACAAATTCCTTAAAAATCCAGCCTCTGTGTCATTGTTGTTTCTCTGTACTTCAGATAATTGAACGCTTAATACCTCAAATGAAAGCTTGTTAAATAGAGATATTATTATATAATTTGCACATTTCATTACTAGGAGATTTTTTACAGAAATTTTTTCATCGAATAAGTTAGTAAAAATAAGAAAATGATACATTTAAAAAGCGTAATTTTAAAACGTTTGCAGCTTTTCAACATTTTCTTACTTATTATGAACTATTGGAATGTCTGCTATGCGATGATAACAAAAAACTCAAAATCAAGCATGAAAATAAAAAACTTAAAATTCAAATAACTCAAAAATGGTTAACTTTTGGATAAGACATGATAGAATAAAATCGGTTGCTTCTGACCTAATCTATCACCCCTTAACAGGAATACGTGGCATTACAAGTCACCCTATATGTTCAGTATCCATTACTCGTAAAGTGTTTGAATTTTTATCTTGATTCGTCAAACTGACTGCAGAATTTGGTTCTATAATGCGTTGAGGACCACGATTTCTTATACACTCATTGACACGCCTGTACATCATGCTGATAAGGTTGTTCGATTCTCAAAATTTTAGTCACTTATCAGACATATTATCTTAAAGAATCGAATAAAGGCAATTTATTATTATTACGTATTCAGAAATTATGTAAAAACACTCAAAACTGACTTGAATTTTTGAATTTTTTGTCGCTAAAATTCGCACTTTGAATATTGTTGCTCTCGAGGTCAGCGTTCTAAACACAGATTAGAGAACTTTATTTTCTATATACAGGGTGGCGCATCGAAAACGAAACAGACGCATTTACTGACAGCTCAGTTTTTTTTTTTGAAAAACGCTCAGACCCGTCGATTTTGTTTTCGAGGGGGACACAAGTTTGGAAAAAAATCACGTTAGCACATGCAGCCCCCTAAGCGGGGGTGACACCACCCCCAAAATCTCAAATGGAAAGGGAGGTCGACTGATACCTTAGTTCAATTCAATTCAATTCAATGGACTTTATTGTAACACATACATAATTATGTATCCTTACAAATGGCGAAGTCTGGCCAATGGCCATTTATACTTAACCATAAATGTCAAAATAAAATAAAAAAAAACTGAAAAAGAAAAGGAAAAAGAAGAATAATAGTTAAAGAAGAATTAATAATATGACATAATGCGTACGATTAGAACAAAAAACATAATACGTACGATTCAAAGAGAGGACAATAACCTAAGAGCTCAATAAGTAGTTTTTATATTTTTTTTTTAGAAAAGTTGCTGATGAAACATTGTTCGAAAGAGTTGATCAATTTCACCGCATTATACGTAAAAGACCGTTGAAAAATGGCTGTCCTATATTGTGGCATTGTCAGGAGATTAATGTTGCGCGTATTCAAATTGTGAATTAAATTCCTACGAACAAGCTTTTGCATAAGATAAACGGGAACAGAAGTTTTTAATATTTTTACGACAAATGTAACAAAGTTGTATTTGAAAAGATCAGAAATTTTCAACCAATTCATTGAAGATATTGAGTGAGAAACATGATCGTACCTTCTTAAATTGTTTATGTAACGACTACATGAGTATTGAATTTTTTGCAGTCTGTATTTTGTGATTTCATCCAGACAGGGATAATAAAATATGTTGCAGTAAGCGATTTTACTGAGTATGAGTGACTCGCATAACAATGTCTTAATTTTTCTATTTAAAACAGTTTTACTTGCATATAGAAGTCTGAGTCTAAAATAACTAGACACATAGCCAACATACTCCTGAAATTTGAAATCTTCATCCAAGTACAAACCTAAATTTTTTGCAGAATGCTAAAATATTTGGATACTATTATTTAGTGATAAATTTAACTTTGATTTGAGGAAAGTACGTTTTTTCTCTGAGCAAAAAAGTATAGCTGTCGATTTCGATGCGTTTAGACGTAAATTATGTTTTGCAGCATATGTGCATAAGTATTGCAGATCTTGATTGATAAGGTTGTTAGCTAAATGGTAGTTGTTCGGACAGAAATTATGAAAAACCTGCATATCATCAGCATATGATTGACTAGAACAATGTTGAAGGGTGTTAGAAATGTCAAAGGTGTATATAAGGAATAAAAGTGGACCTAATATGGATCCCTGAGGCACGCTGGAACAAATCGGCCTTTTGTCTGAAAGTTTATTTTGTATGATGACATATTGATGTCGTTCATTTAAATAGCAATCTATCCATTCCAGAACCAAGTCGTCACACCCAATGTATTTAGATTTAGAAACTAACAGCTTATGATTCAGGGTGTCAAAAGCCTTGCTGAAATCCAATAAGACTAATGCAGTTGCTTCTTGCCTATCCGCCGCTGTTAGTTCATCGTCACAAACCCGTGCCAAAGCGGTAGTGGTACTGTGACCCTTTCTAAAGCCTGATTGATTTAATGGCAAAATGCTGCGTTCGAGTAAATACTCATTCAACTGCATATAAACTATTTTTTCTAGAATTTTTGATAGAGCTGACAGCAAGCTAATAGGTCGGAGATCACCAGGAACCTGGGGATTGGGAATCTTTGGAAGAGGTTGCACTAATGCTTCCTTCCAAGCACTTGGAAAAACACCGCGCTCTAAACAACAATTTATTAAGTGCAAAATGTATATTCCTGCAGCAGGTAGACACAATTTAATCATCTCAATGGTAATGCCATCAATACCACTAGAATTGGACTTGATACTGCGAATAGCATCCAATACTGTAGATATATCGACAAGACGGAACTGAAAATGAAAATCTTGGTTTAATTTGTTATGGCTATAAAATTCGATAGTTTCCGAGCAATCATCGTCACTTTTCTGGAATATATTGGTAAAATAGTTATTTATTTCATTGGGAACTGCTAAGTCATCCGGAATGTCAGTTTTACTAGGATCCTGAATTCTAAATGACTTAAGAGCTTTACAAAGAGCTGCAGAGTTTCTTTGTCGAGATAGATGTTGAAGGTAGCCTGATTTCTCTGCACGTGTAGCAGTTTTGGTAAAATTTCTCAGTTCATTGTAATGATTTCGATTCGCATCCGTTCGAGACCGTCTATATTTATGAAAAGCCTTATCTCGTTCTTTCATTATCATTTTCAAATTGTTTGTGAGCCATGGTGCACGAGGCTTAGACACTCTCACTGTTTTTATGTATGTCAAAAAGTCCTACAATGTTATCGGAAATAAATTTTACTTTCTCATCGATATTAGCCATATAAATAACTTCAGCCCAATTAACGCTAAATAAGTCATCGTCAAAAGAGGTTAGATCAAAATTGCGATAGTCTCTAAATGTAATTAGTCTAGGCGGTGGTTTATTGTTTTTACACGAAATTTGACAGAATACAGCCTGATGATCACTAAAGTTAACAGTGAAAGTTTCCACTCTGGAACATCTTTGTGCACAGTTGAAGAAAACCGAATCTAAAAGCGTTGAAGAATGATCAATTATTCGAGTTGGTTCATTCAATAACTGGTGCAGGCTGTAAGATTGAAAGCACTGATTAATCTTATTATCAATGAAGAAATTAACGTTGAGGTCACCAAGTACCAAGATGCATTCATTAGACGGTGCTAAGATGGACAACGTATTATCTAATATACTTACTGCAACATCCAAACTTCCCCGAGGCGGTCTATAAATAACACCAGCTACAATAAATTTGCGGCCAATACGAACCTTGAGCCAAAGCATTTCTAGAGAAGTACGATCATATTCCTCAAACGATAGAATTTCTGATGAAAAACGATTTTTGACGTAACAGCCAACCCCACCTCCGCGACTACCACGATCACGACGATGGAAGTTATAACCAGAAATATCTACTGAATTTGTTGGAATATCTGAAGACAGCCATGTTCCTGTAACAGCCACTACATCGAGATCCATATCATTAACCATGGAAGTTAGTTAGTTAGTTGGAAGGTATATGAATTCCCTTTATAATTATATAAAATTAATGTACTTCAGTTCAGTACTTTTGAAGATTTATTGACTTAAAGCTTAAATAAAACTAATGCAACATCATTAGTGGAAATCAATACATTTGTCAGCAAAGTAATTTAAAAATGAAGAATGAACTGACCCGTTAGGCATGTAAATGTCGAAAATGACACTTCATGCAGCCCAAACGTTTAATTTTTGTGGCTGCTGTGTATGAACCTCATGATAAATTCTGGGATCAGAATTGGACCAATATCGGCAGTTATGACGATTTACTACGCCATTTAAGAAAAAGGAACATTTATCGGAGAAGCAAGTGTTGAATAGAAAATGTTCATCGTTTATAATTCGTTCACTCATATCTTCACAAAATTGTAATCGCCGATCAAAATCGTCTTCATTAAGTTCTTGTGCCAGGTGAATTTTACACGGATGAAAACTATGGGCCTTTAGAATCCGTTGGACAGTACGTCGACTAACTGAGCTGCCAGTAAATGCGCCTGCTTCGTTTTCGATGCGCCACCTTGCATTTTGTAAAAATTGACTAATGAATAAAGATTTGTTTTCAAAAAATAAGTTCTTACATTCCAAAAATGCAGTGCAGTATCCACAACTCAACTTCAAACCTCTTGCCAGATTTGCTTAGGTTCAAATTCAATGAACTACAGACTAACATGCAATTATAGCGTAATACGAAAGATCCTTACCATTCGCAAAAGCATAAGTCACAAAGATGCAGGACACCAAAACCACTGAATGTGTCAATCGCGCCATTTTGAACGACTCATCCGAGAACCAGAGAGACGTACATATATTTCTGTTAGAATAGCTATACTTTATTGCAAGCAACGCTACCTCCTACTACTTCGGAATTCATTTCGTTTTAAAATAATTTAATTGTTTGGGAAAACATGAGCAAGTTCAAAAGTATATCCGATTACGTTTATTTGACCCAGGTCAGGAGTAGGTTATGTGAAATCATGCTATGAATGTTTATCAGTTCACAGTAAATACGATATAAGGATATTTGGTGTATGCAGAAAATACAGTATCTTGTTCATTCACGTAATTGTTATTATTTCTTTTTGCACGCCCAATTTCTCACTGCTTGTTATCACTTGCCGCCTGCTCACCTCTTGCTTGGCTACAGTAATAAGCTTACAAATTCAAAAACTTAATAAAATTCAAGTATATCCTAATAAATCTCTTCCTAAAATATAAGAAATATTTGACATAAATCTGGGGCTTCCTGTCCATGAACCATACCTTCCGGCTAGGGTAACAGGTCTCGTCAGAGCAAGGTCTGTAGAATCCAGGAAGAAGTAAAAGTTTGATCCAATAAATTGTGGCTTTATTTGAGGAGTGGAGACCCCTTTAAGCACCTTTGAGAAGCGATACTGGCAGGAACTTAAGTATGTCTCTGAGCTTTTGATGTCTTCACTGCTGCTGTCCAGTTGCTCTTCACAGAAGTTCGTGAAGAGGAAAGTGCTGCCTCAATACTTTAGAAAGGAAGACACAAGGAAAATAAGCATCTTTGAGAGGTCAACGTTTGCGTCAGTGAGCCGGATAACGAGATCAGGCTTGTTACAAAACTGGCTAGTTTTCTTATAAGGTTGGTATAAAACTCGTAGGACAAACGTGTCCATGGGCAATTTTTCCTGGAGTAGCTTCCGAGCTATATGGTTTAATCTAACGTAACATGTGCGTCAGAGATGGCTCATTGATATAATAATAATAATAATAATTCTGGGTAAACCACTTGATAGCAGATGTAGAAGGTGCAACACGAAAGAGGAAACAATTCAGCACGTCCTTACAGGGTGCACAGTTCTGACAGCAACTGAATATCAACATCGGCATAATAGGGTTGCAACATATGTTCATTGGAAAGTTTGTAAAGAACTCCAGATTGACGTGCCTCGAACATGGTATAGTCATAACAAGCGAACGCACAGTACTGTGAGACCATTCAATTATAACTGATCGCACCATATCAGCTAATCGTCCCGACATCGTCATTCATAACAGGTCAGTTAAAACTTGCATACTTGTGGACGTAGCTATACCAGACGACCAGAACATTCTTATGAAGGAGGCAGAAAAGATCTCAAAATATAAAGATTTACAGATAGAAGTACAGCGTATGTGGAAAGTGAAAGCTAAAGTTATACCAGTTATAATTGGCTCATTGGGAGCAAATTCAGATAATGATTGTAGAAGGAAGATAAACCAAAATATGTGTGTAAAAATAAAAAAAAATTAAAAAAAAATGTTGCCTTGTTTTATAAGGTATCCTCCCGACAAGTATTTAAGTGCGGACCTGTATTTGATCGTGCGGTCTTGGAGCACCGGCATTCCCTCCCCTATGAGGTCTTAAGTCACCTGATTCACGAGCCCTTTGTACTATATTAACAAAGGCACGAGGGGTTGGTTGCACTCGATTGGGAAACCGATCCGCATAAATCCGTGATGCCGCGTAAATAAGAATCATGTCCACAAGTTCAGCATTTTCGTAAACATGTGCCATTTTTGATTTCCTTTGAGCCACGCAACAGACACCACTATTCACTCACGCGTTACCGACTGACACTGACTGTATACAACTGAATAAAATAATTGTAAAAACATCGTTCCAAATTCTTTCGCTTTTTTGTTTCCGATGCGATGAACCGATAAGGCGGATTATATCCGCTGTTGCCAAACACGAGCACATAATATTATTATTGAGACAGCGCGGTACTCAAACTTCCAAAGGGCTATAACTTTGTTACTTTAATTTTACCAGAAAAATGGTAAAGGAAAAAAACATTTCTTTTGATCAGATCTACTCACTGTTAAAATAAATGACTCAACTTCGAAGTCACCCTGTATATGAACTGCAAAAGATTGCACTGCTAGGATCAGCGCACATTCTGAGAAGAGTATTAACATAAGAGCCAGCCTCAGAACCCTTGTTGGGTTCCGGTGGCTGGTACTGTCCGATCAGAGGAGGTCGAGAGTATGTAATTGAAATAATAATAATAGCGTTTATTTTCAGAGCAAAAAAATGCAAAGAGAAATAATTAAAAATGAAGAAACAACATGAATTTCCTGCAAAAGGCACTAGTAAACAGACGAGCTGATCAAAATACTAGCCCAACAAACAAAATTAGAACAGAGGAGTTCTTAACCAAATTATATAAGTTAATATCAATAATTAATAAATGATAATTACAAACGTCAAAAGAATATATGTATATAAAGAAATATAATTTAACGGAAAAGGTCAAATTATTTTAGGCAGATCTAACAAGAAAAACATTTAAAATGTAAAAAGGAAAGGAACAATATAAAGTAAACACTAGAGTTCATCTAATAGAAATTTTCTTTAACTTCTTTCAGAAGCTGACACAGACATAGACTTAAGATTTGTGGCGACGAAATTGTACAAGCGGTAGATAAAATGAGAAAAACATGTTAAAAATAGATGTACGATGACGTGGTTGAGCTTCCGATACCGAATATTGATATTGTGAACATCATTTCGAAATCTAATCTTCTTATATAAATAAGGCGGAGTTTTATATAGAATAATTTTACGAAACAAAACTGCAGAGTGCAGATTTCTCCTGACTTCCATATTTAGTCATCCTATTACAGGTAACTTATAAGAAATTTTTTCACTCCAAAAATAAACCAAGACAAGAGTTTTGCACACGCTGTATACGTTGAACATCATACCTTGTTATATACAAGGCCCATAAACTGAGTCGCATCAACTGAATAACGACAGAACAAGCGTATCACAAAGCAAAGCCTTAAGTTTGGTAGAAAAGATATGACGATGTGGAAATAACATTTTATACTAAGTGACATATAAATCCGAACACCCAGTTTAAATGGTTTTATTTTAATAAAAGTTCGTGAATGTATTTATCTTACTGTAAATAACAAGTGAACAAATTTTCAGCCTTATCAGTTGGACATTCCGGTTTTTATACTGCTTTTTTTTAAATTCACTAACGCTCTAAAAATGAATATTTCAGCCGCAGTAAAGAATCAACGTTGGCGGATTTTGGTTCTTGACATCCTTTACGATCGGTTACGATGTCTAGAGTACAGAGACCTGTACGATTTCGTCAACTTAGTGAGTTTGATAGGGGCCGTATAGCTGGACTTTCTTTTCGGACAATTGCAGTTAGAGTGCAAAGAAGTGTAGACACTGTGGTTAGGTGTTGTCAGGTATGGCTTCGAGAAGGCCGTACGCAAAGAGCAAGGGGCACTGGACGCCGCCGTAGAACAACAGACCGTGAAGATCGCCGCCTAAGATTATTGGCCTTAAGGGACCGTTTCTCCACTACCAGGTCCATTGCAAATGAATGGTTTGCAGAACACGGAAGACCTATTGGCATGCGAAGTGTTTACCGACGAATGACAAGTTTTGGCTTGTTTTTATACCGGCCACACTGGGTCCTCCCTGTAACTCGAGAACACCGACACTCTGGGATCAGGAATGGAACAGTATTGTCTTTAGTGACGAGTCTCGATTTTGTTTAGGCATGCACGATGGTCGTGTCAGGGTTAGAAGGTGACGTGGTGAAAGGAGGAATCCACAGTTTTTTGTTGAAAGACATGTTCATCACACTGTTGGAGTTATGGTTTGGGGTGCTATAGCTTATGGTTCCAGGTCACCTTTAATCTTACCCTATCTTGACACCCTGGCAGATCACACTTTCCAACAAGATAATGCCCGACCACATGTTGCAAGAGGCACAATAGACTTCTTTCAACATAATGATGTCACATTGTTACCATGGCCAGCAAGATCTCCCGACTTATCCCCAATTGAGCACGTGTGGGATGTGATGGGTAGGAGATTGCTCAATTTGCAACGTCCTCCTCAGACTCTAGAAGCACTTCGACATGAGTTGGTGGTTGCCTGGAATGAGATACCACAGGCGGACATTGACCACCTGATCAGAAGCATGCCTAGGCGCGTTGGAGAATGCGTAGCACATCAGGGTGCATCCACACATTATTAAAGGTCAAAGGACTTTAAAGCAGTGCAATCATTTTGAAATTTTTATCATTTACTTATTATGCTTCATTAAGTACTTATACAAAATTTTATTAAAGTAAAACCATTTTAACTGGGTGTTCGGATTTATATGTCTCTTAGTATATCTCCTATAGCTTAACTGTAAATTCGGTACTGCAGACCGTTGTGCCAGTGTTGCCACAGGAGACCCAATAGGGCCAGATTTTGTATCTTTTTAAGACATAGTGGCCCCTCGGCCCCCTTTCCTGTTTTTCCACTAACTTGCAGCTTAATAGGTCAAATAGATTGTAACTCTAATCACTTTTTGCACTGTGAATTTAACGTACATTAGACATTGGGATTTTCAACCAGGAAGTCTATGCTTACTAAGTAGCATTTTGAATACAAGTTTTTTTGTTCAGATGATATGTTTTTAAGCTGGGTTTTAAGTCTGAGCTTCCAAAGTGCTTTAATGAAAGTTTCTGTCATTTGGTAATTGTTATTTTATATCGTAATCATAAAATGAACAAAGGAAAATACACCGTGCTGTAGCGTTTAGTCAACAATTACAATTTCGACAAAATTTCTAAAGAAATTCTATCAATTCAATACTGTAATTTTTAGTAAGCCTATCGGAATTGTCATTTCTGACAGCATTTCTGAACGCACCCATTGTCACCAATACAAGCAAACGATATATAGTCAACGCCAAACAAAGTGGCGTGCACGTCATCAAGGTGGGTGTGTCGAAAAATTTACATTGTTGCCAAACTTTTTGTAAAATAATAAAATTTATTATTTACATATCTAGGTTTATAAGCAATATTAACCTCAAATGAGAACAAAAATAATAGTATAATAAAATTATAGATCTGTACTTGCATAATCATTAAGTATGACAATTATTGAT